GGTCACAGATACAGCTACCTGTGGCTCCACCTGGAGGATGTTATCAACAGGAAGTACAAGATTTTAGTTAACTTGTCATTTCTAAATTTAGCAGTTATTTATTATTTATATAACCCCTCTGAAGAGTCCAATATATGCCAGGTAACATACATATAGATTCCTTGAGCTCACTGAAATCATCATCATCATCATGTGTTGAAACTACTGAGCTGGTTGTAAAGATTTATCTTTTAAATCCATAGTTTTCTGCCTTATGTTCCTCTCTTGTATACAATAAAATGAATGAACAACATGTATAACTAAGAAGTTCAATGTTAGGAAAGACAGACATAGATACAGGTAAATATTTCCAACACAGTTTTTATTAACAAACCAAAAATTAAACAAGACAAAACTGAAATATCAATGTCACAGAAAGTAGCGTACATTTTACAATGAACAATGATTACTAGGGATTTTTATCATAGCTCTTTTGAAAGATTGACAATTCTTATGATCTGCTCCTTAATAGTTCTACAGGTTTACAGTTGCTTATTAAGGTGAGGGGGACAATTTCTGCACTGATAAATCTGTCTTGTCTTGTCTTGTCTTGTCTTGTCCACAATTGCTTATCGCAGTTTTCTATCTTGGGGAGCCAGGTGTGTTTCACGTGGTTAGTCCGTGTTGCCTCAATATTTCGTCTCTCGCACCTCTTGCTCTAGGGCAGTAGTGCTGTTCGTTGTATGCTCGTAGAGGCAGTTGGTCGGTTTGCATTCGCATCAAGTGGCCAAACCACTCTATTGTTTGATGGACTTTTTCATACTTCTGATTGATGGTATGATAAATCTGTATATGTATATAATGGCATCCGTCAGTCCCGGGGGACTATGGAGATGTGACGCTGGCTTTGGGAACAGCATCTGCTGTGACTGTAAAGTCCGATGCGGGAATGGCAGCCTTTGCCACACAGGATACACACAAAAGCAGATACTTCCTCGTTGTGAGGCAGTTTTACTCTCCAGTGTCTCCTCTCCACAGCTCGTTGTGTTCGGTTTCTTTCAAAATGTGACAGTCCGTCTTTCACTTTCTTTTTCCATAGTAGTTGATCTGCAGCTGATTTTTCCCATGTCTCTGTGCCTATGTTGGTATCTATTAGGTCACGTTTGCATACATCTTTATAGCTCAGCTTTGGCCTTCCTGTAGGTCTATTCCCAGTTACCAATTCACCATATAGGAGATCTTTTGGAATACGACCATCCTCCATGCGGGAGACATGTCCCAGCCAGCGCAGACGTCTTTGCTTCAGTATACAATACATTGATGGTATTTTTGCTCTTGTGAGCACACATTCGTTGGAGACAAGGTCTCACCATAATATACCAAGGATGCGTCTCAGACAGCGCATATGGAAGGTATTCAGTCTTTTTTCCTGCGGAGCATAGAGAGTCCAGGATTCACAGCCGTACAGTAATGTGCTCAGGACACAAGACTCATAAACCTTCATTTTTGTATTATCAGTTAGCTTTTTGTTTGACCAGACTCTCTTTGTGAGATTTGCAAACATAGCAGAGGCCTTTCCTATACATTTGTTTAGTTCTGCATCCAGAGAATGATTGCCTGAGATACGTGAGCCTAGGTACTCAAACTCATTTACAGCCAGCAGCTGATGGTCATACACACTAATGTTTGATGGATTTCCAACATTCAATCCCATCACTTGTGTTTTGTTCAGACTGATGGTAAGCCCAAATTCTTTGCAAGCATTTGCAAAGCGATTCATCAGGATCTGCAGATGATTCTCTGAATGTACCACAATGGCTGCATCATCCGCAAACAGAAAATCCCTGAGGCATCTCGTGTGGACCTTCGTCCTTGCAAGTAGCCTGGACAGATTAAAAAGATTGCCATCTGACCTCGAACGGAGGTATATCCCCTCAGTTGCTGTCCCAAATGCACGCCTCAATAATGCGGTTAAAAAGATGCCAAACAGCGTGGGACCCAGAACACATCCTTGCTTTACTCCATTTCGAATTTGGAAGGGTCCAGATGATGAATCCTTATATATTATGGTTCCCCTCATATTCTCATGAAAGGATTTGATTAGGCTCAGTAGTATAGGTGGGCATCCATATTTTTCAAGGATCCCGAATAGACCATCTTTGCTGACATAGTCAAAGGCCTTAGTGAGATCTATGAAAGCAATGAGCAGTGGCCTCTGTTGCTCTCTGCACTTTTCTTGTAGCTGCCTGATGGAGAAGATCATATCAACTGTTGATCTCTGGGCCCTTAACCCACACTGTGATTCCGGGTATACTCTGTCCGCTAGAATTTGCAACCTCTTTAGGATAACACGAGCAAAGACTTTTCCAACATAATTCAATAGAGAGATACCACGATAGTTGTTGCAGTCGCTTCTATCTCCCTTATTTTTATAGAGTTATAATGTTGGCATCTCTCATATCCTGTGGCACCGATTTTTCTTGCCAACACTGACAGAGGATCTTGTGTAGCTCAGGAAGAATAGCATCCTTGGAGCATTTTAGGATCTCAGGTGGGATACCATCCTCTCCTGGGGCCTTCCCTGAAGGAAGCCCATCTACTGCCTCACCGATTTCTGTGACGGAGGGTTCCGTGTCTAGTTCACCCATGGTTGGCAGACACTCCATTGCATTTAAGGCCTCTTCACTTACAAAGGTGGTTGTAGCATATAGCTCTGAGTAGTGCTCCACCCATCGGTCCAGCTGCTTTGTCCTATCCTTTATGATTTCGCCCGTGGTTGATTTGAAAGGGGCAATCTTTCTTTTTACTGGCCCAATAGCCTTCTTGATGCCAGCATTCATTTCCCTTATGTTGCCAGTAGCTGCTGAGGTACATATACATTTTTTGTTTAAATGCAGTCACTGGTCAAGCCCAGTTGTTTTCAGTCAATAATAAAAATCTGACCCAGAGGAAATGAATTAAGATAATCACACACAAAAGTAATATTTAATTCACCTTGAAAACAAAAATTGGGTCTGGGAGGAGGGGGGGGGATTTCTGCCTTATCAATGTAGATTACATTACTAGGGACTGAGTTCTTCATATTGTCTCTTACGACATGCAAGGAAGCTTGCAGTATTAAATTCACTGTTTTCCTTATAGACCCCAGTAACAGACAGCCTGTCCAGAATTCTAGTAATTAACTTTGCATTAGCTGGGTTTGTGCATCTAAAGACATAGAACAAAAGTCAAATGCATTTGAAAACAAATGCTTGAGTAAAATGTTCAACATCAAGTGATTTGAATTCAAGTGGGATGAATTCAAGTGGGATGAATTCAAGTGGAATGAATTCAAGTGAGATGAATTCAAGATGGATGAATTCAAGTGGGATGAATTCATGATGGATGAGTTTCAAGATGGGGGAACAAGTAGGAGACATGTCAGGGCAACCACTGGTATCAACAGTTCTAAGACACAGAAGATGGTGCTATAGGACACATCCTGATGCCCAAAAGAAATGCTAAAACAAATTTTGATGAGAGAGATGCTAAATATAACACAAAATTTAATGGAAAAGATGCAGACGAACACAACCAAACATTTCACCGGTCTTTATCAGCGGAATACTAAATAAACCACAAACTGTGACTGGAAAAACTCAACGGACAAGACACTCAATGGACAAGACACTTAACGGACAAGACACTCAACGGACAAAACAAAGGAGCTAATAAAAAAGCAAGATCAACATGAAACCAAGAAGTACGTAATGGAGGAAAAAATATGAATATGAAGGACTATCACAATAGTGTCATCATTTTTACCTCTTTATTACATTTATGTCATCACTTTTAGGTCTTTATTACATTTGTCATCACTTTTAGGTCTTTATTACGTTTATGTCATCACTTTTAGGTCTTTATTACATTTATGTCATCACTTTTAGGTCTTTATTACATTTATGTCATCACTTTTAGGTCTTTATTACGTTTATGTCATCACTTTTAGGTCTTTATTACATTTATGTCATCACTTGTAGGTCTTTATTACATTTGTCATCACTTTTAGGTCTTTATTACGTTTATATCATCACTTTTAGGTCTTTATTACATTTATGTCATCACTTTTAGGTCTTTATTACATTTATGTCATCACTTTTAGGTCTTTATTACATTTATGTCATCACTTTTAGGTCTTTATTACATTTATGTCATCACTTTTAGGTCTTTATTACGTTTATGTCATCACTTTTAGGCCTTTATTATGTTTATGTCATCATTTTTAGGTCTTTATTACATTTATGTCATCACTTTTACGTCTTTATTACATTTATGTCATCACTTTTAGGTCTTTATTACATTTATATCATCACTTTTAGGTCTTTATTACATTTATGTCATCATGTTTAGGTCTTTATTACATTTATGTCATCACTTTTACGTCTTTATTACATTTATGTCATCACTTTTAGGTCTTTATTACATTTATGACATCACTTTTGATGAGAGAGGCCAAATGGGCTGGACCAGATTCCATCCATGATACAGAAGTGATTGCATGTGATAGGATAGAATGGAAGACTTGACTGCAAGCCCTAGATGACATATAATGGTGAAACTATGGGGGTGACTGCAGTCAAGTCTGGAATTCATGACATATAATGGCACAACAGGACAACGGTGGTGATGAATGATGTGCTTATACATATGAGATTATGTTAGTAAACACAACAAGTAACACATCAAGGAGACAAATATGGTGTGCTTATACATATGAGATTATGTTAGTAAACACAACAAGTAACACATCAAGGAGACAAATATGATGTGCTTTATACATAAGAGAGATATGTTAGTAAACACAACAAGTAACACATCAAGGAGACAAATATGGTGTGCTTATACATATGAGATTATGTTAGTAAACACAACAAGTAACACATCAAGGAGACAAATATGGTGTGCTTATACATATGAGATTATGTTAGTAAACACAACAAGTAACAAATCAAGGAGACAAGTATGATAACACAGAAACTTACACCAGCATTAGTTGCCCCTGGATCCAGTGTCCGCCGGGAAATGAAATACCAGACGGCAATGAAGAAACACAAGGAGATCACTTTCAGGCCAGCAGCTATGCCTGTTAAAGAAACAAGAAATATTTTATTCCATCACTTATCAGTTATCACCTGGCCAAGACTATCTATATACAGGTTTTTAACCTATGATGTAACCTGTCCTCACCTGGCTAAGACTATCTATTTACTGGTATTTAACCAATGATGTAACCTGTCCTCACCTGGCCAAGACTATCTATATACAGGTATATAACTTATGATGTAACCTGTCATCACCCAGCCAAGACTATCTATATACAGGTATTTAACCTATGATGTAACCTGTCCTCACCTGGCTAAGACTATCTATATACAGGTATTTAATCTATGATGTAACCTGTCCTCACCTGGCCAAGACTATCTATATACAGGTATATAACTTATGATGTAACCTGTCATCACCCAGCCAAGACTATCTATATACAGGTATTTAACCTATGATGTAACCTGTCATTACATGGCCAAGACTATCTATATACAGGTATTTAACCTATGATTTAAGTAAATCCTTTTTACAACTGATATATTCTTCTTTCAAATTAGTTAGTTAGTTAGTTAGTTAGTTGGGTTATCATCATTGCACTCCGGACATGTCCATAGGTGCTCAGATCCTCCCTTCAGTATGAACCCCAACGTCCGATGGCTAATATTACCAGTTCTATGTTGATTAACAAGTCTTCTGACGTGTCCGGTGTGCGTCTCGTTTTTTGCTGTGCCGATCTTAATTCCCAAGTCTGCCATTCTGGCGAGTGATGTGGATTCACTGCCACCAAAGTCCTCTATCCTTCCCATTTCTCTGAGGGCATTGATAATATCAGCATGATCCATAGGCCGACCGTCGGTAGTGATAGCGGATCCAGCCAACCTGTCAGCTCTTTCATTTCCATTGACGCTTGCGTGTCCCGGAACAAAAATAAAGGTGACTCCACGCACAGTGGACTTCTGAATTGATTCAAGCCATTGTCTTCGCACTGAACCTGCCTGAACCCTCCGGATCATACTCATTGAATCACTGAGTATACATATGCGGGTGTATTTTTGTGTTTCAAGCCAGGCAAACGCTTGCGTCACTGCCATCACCTCCATCGTCATGCTGCTGGTTGTCATGGAGAAGGCGCCGTTGGCTTCTTTGACTGTTCTGCCCGCTGAGCGTGCTGTAAATGCCCATGCGCTTCTTCTTTGGCGTATAACGGATCCGTCTATATAGATTAGTGCATCTGCTTCGTCTGAATTGACCTCTGCATTAACAGCAACAGGATTCTCTTCTCTACATCGCCTGTTGAGTGTGACAATACAGGAAAATGTACAAACAAACGCATGAGGCACAGGTATCCATTCTGCCCCAGGTATGATGTCGGTTAGGCTGCATATTTGCCTAATAACATCTTCTGCCCGACCTAGCCACGATTTCCCCCTCTTCAGTCTGTCGCCCTTTTCACTAAAAAGCGCTTGATGAAGTGGGTGTTTCTTATCAGCACATATTTTGAGGTATGCCCGAGCTTTCCACATCCTGATCCTTTGGTTCATTGTTGGAAAGTCAAGTAGATACCTCATTGCTCCACAGGATGTGTCTCTTGTACATCCCAAAATATCCTTTCAAATGTCCCTTCTAAACCCAGCTTTAGTTTATTGTCCCTGGGCCAGGGAGTTGGAATCTGCTGATAATGAGATGCCTTCAGTCTGAATGGAAACATGAACACCCGTAGCCTGATCCCAGCACATCTGTACCATCAATTGTGGCGAATATGTCAAGTTTTCAAACCTAAACAAAAATCTTTCCAAAAATAGGTATCCAATTAAATAGGTGGTATGTTCTGGAATGTAACACTGATGAACAAATTAGGAATGTTTGTATGGAAGTTTACTTCTCTGCCCAATGTCTGGAGTTGACTTTACTGTTCTGTCCAATGTCTGGAGTTGACTTTACTGTTCTGTCCAATGTCTGGAGTTGACTTTACTGTTCTGTCCAATGTCTGGAGTTGACTTTACTGTTCTGTCCAATGTCTGGAGTTGACTTTACTGTTCTGTCCAATGTCTGGAGTTGACTTTACTGTTCTGTCCAATGTCTGGAGTTGACTTTACTGTTCTGTCCAATGTCTGTAGTTGACTGGAATGTCTGACTTTACTGTTCTGTCCAATGTCTGGAGTTGACTTTACTGTTCTGTCCAATGTCTGGAGTTGACTTTACTGTTCTGTCCAATGTCTTGAGTTGACTTTACTGTTCTGTCAAATGTCTGGAGTTGACTTTACTGTTCTGTCCAATGTCTGGAGATGACTTTAATTTTCATGTCCAAGCCTTTACCACTAAGTTGTAAACAAGTTGGGACAATGACTACACATGCTGCCTGGTGTTATCATTTCTGACTGTGGTTCTCCTTGATTCATTAGGTTTTCGTCATGAAAATTTCTTCTCTGTATCTTCAGTTCTGCTTCTCTCTTACTGTCATTATCCAGTTGCCATGCTGGTTGGATAAATGTGTTAAATAGTGCTAATTTTGTATGTAGAAGAACAACAACAACAACAACAACGGATGACAAGGACATCACCAATGTTACAGTGGGAGAATACATATTCTAGCTGAGGACACGTACCAAGATCAGAGCACATAAAGTGTACATACATTGTTGTATCAGAATATAACCTCCCTACCTACATGCTTGTATGCTGGGTTTTTTACCTACATAAGTAAAAAGTAAAGGACCCTTTTCCACGTCTTTAGGCGTATAGGGCATATAGGGCTAGACCTATATTTTTATAGACCAATTGGCACAAGATGGGTGATGTGGTCAGCATCACGCCGGCCGCCTCTACTTAACGGGACTGCACCCAGTACCCACTCAAGGCTGGGTCAACCTGGGAGCCAAGGTCATTTTTGAAAAAAGTCCGGCTCCTCCAGGGAGCGAACCCATGACCTTCCGATCTGCGGAGAGCGTCTAGCCGTTCTGCCACGTGGACTCCCTTTTTACCTACATACTTTTACAAAAATGTAACTTACCTGTATATTTGAGCTGAAACGTGACTCACCTACATACTTGAGCTGAAACGTGACTCACCTACATACTTGAGCTGAAACATGACTTACCTACATACTTGTATCGAAACATGACCATGTCATACAGAAGACAGGATCCGTTTCTCTGACATTTGACACTCCACAACAGGCAGGTGCTGTCTATGGCATTGCCAAAGAAGATGGGGCTAGGAATGTACGCTGAAACATGGTGGATCAGTGGTCATTTCAGGCAGACAACACTTAACATAGCTGGATTGAAAGTTCAAACCTACAACAGACTATTTCAAATTCTAACTGCATGTTTGAGTGTATAGCAACTGTTTACAAAATATTATAAATCATTCTGGACAACTGAGAAGGCCAGTCTTGAAATAGCTATCAGAGTAGCCAGAACCCTGTAGGACTTGCACGTGATGTGGTCTAACTGAATAATGAAGTGTCTAATCCAGCTAAATCTTCTATCTTTCTCATGTACATCACCTGATGTAAATTTATGTACTGGTTTTGAGTTCAGGGAGCAGGGCAATAGCTCTGTTATACAACCCACTCAGATATGATAATCTAGTACCTGATCAGCAGGGAAGTCTCTACAAGAACCTTGTCCTAAACATACAGTAACTTAAAGTTAATCGATCTGGATTTACCCAGTGATCTGAACTATCACCCAGCCTTTCAACCCAACCAGCCATTCAACCCAACCAACCAACCATTCATCCCAACCAACCATTCAACCCAACCAACCATTCAACCCAACCAACCATTCATCCCAACCAACCATTCAACCCAACCAACCATTCATCCCAACCAACCATTCAACCCAACCAACCATTCAACCCAACCAACCATTCAACCCAACCAACCATTCATCCCAACCAACCATTCAACCCAACCAACCATTCAACCCAACCAACCAACCATTCATCCCAACCAACCATTTAACCCCCCCAAAAAAAAAACCAGCCCTCCAACCCAGCCAACCAACACAACCAACTTGTTTATTTCTAAAGTTCTCATGTTTTAAGTTCCCTTGAAACTGTTTTATTTGAAATATTTCAATTCCCAGACAAGCAATGATATCATGGCTAACATTTTGAGAGTTTGCATTTTCTCTGTATCAAGATATGTGAGTCGTGAAATGTCTCACAGTCATTAAGAAAGAAAATGTGGGCTATTGAGCTGAAATGTTATAGACAAGTTCTCAGAATACCATAAATCAAAATAAAAGACACAATGACATCATAAAAGATCTGAAAATCAAGGAAGACTGGCTGGTAACAGCATCTTGTCTCTGAAACTGAAATATTTTGGCAGCATCAAGTGCCTCAGTGGATAGAATAAAATAATACCAGAAGGCATGGTACCAGGAAAAAAGGGACAGGGACTGACCAACTGAGGAATGTTTGTCTGGAAGTTTACTGTTCTGTCCAATGTCTGTAGTTAACTTTACTGTTCTGTCCAATGTCTGGAGTTGACTTTACTGTTCTGTCCAATGTCTGTAGTTGACTTTACTGTTCTGCCCAATGTCTGGAGTTGACTTTACTGTTCTGCCCAATGTCTGGAGTTGACTTTACTGTTCTGTCCAATGTCTGTAGTTAACTTTACTGTTCTGTCCAATGTCTGGAGTTGACTTTACTGTTCTGTCCAATGTCTGGAGTTGACTTTACTGTTTTGTCCAATGTCTGGAGTTGACTTTACTGTTCTGTCCAATGTCTGTAGTTAACTTTACTGTTCTGTCCAATGTCTGGAGTTGACTTTACTGTTCTGTCCAATGTCTGTAGTTAACTTTACTGTTCTGTCCAATGTCTGTAGTTAACTTTACTGTTCTGTCCAATGTCTGGAGTTGACTTTACTGTTTTGTCCAATGTCTGGAGTTGACTTTACTGTTCTGAGTGATGTTTGTGGGGCTAACCAATATTGTAGCTATGTAGGTCAGTAACAGTACTGGTGAGAACTTACCAAACAACCTCATGACAACAAACTGTAGACCTAGAGCAAACGATCGCTCCATTGTTCCGACAGATCTGCAAAATACAACAGTATATAATGTTATGGTCATGCTAATCTTCTGTATTCTTTCCTCTTCTACTCTCGAGAATGTAAGAAATATAACCCCCCCCCCCCCAAAAAAAATCCAGCAAAAAAAGTTATACCATTAACTGATTATAGGAATCTCTCTGAATTACCTATGACGATGGTTGCACATTAAAAACACCAGAGACTCGAGTGGCAAAGTCAAGCAATTTATGACAAGAACTGAAATATATTATGCGAAGAAATCTCTGCTAAAAGTAAAATCAATGAGGACAATCAACTGCTTTACTAATACACAATAAATCAACTTTTTAAATGAAACAATGTTTGTAAGTTTATCTAAATATTCATTGTTGAATTTTTGTCCTAATCACAACCCAGAAAGGTATATAACCAAAGCAATTTTTGAAACAATACAAATTTTATCATGAAATATAAAATAACAAATATATACTCTGAGAACTCGATGAATACTTTACACCTAGTTATAATGATGAGGGTGGAATGTGATATTTTACAGAAAATTACTCTTGCTACTTCTACTCTGAGGTTTCGAGGTAACTATTATTCTACTTAAGTTTTTTTGTGTGTTTTTTTTTTGTGATTCTAAATTAGAGAGCTATCTGATGGTATGATTTACCAAGAGAATATGTAGCTATTAGTTTCTGTGTTCTCTATCAAAGTGATGCAATGTTTCCTCTTCTAACCCTAAACTGTAGTATCTCTCATATCAATATATCTTAGCCTGTGAACATCTGTTTCCCTGTTTCAATAATTTATTCTTCTTATTATGTTCTTGCTCTCAATGTTTGTTTTAATGTCATTAATTATTGTATTATTCCTTTACTGAATTGTTGGTATTTTTAACACTATCCAGTATCAGTGGTGGGAAGGTTTTGGTTTTTTCCAGGTCATGAACAGGTCAGAAAGTTGTTTCTGGTCAACTTATCAATACTTATTCAGAACAGTGAGCATACACCATTTAAAGCTGTTAACAGGATTACCTGAATACAAAACAACAATGCCACTTTGTCCATCTGTGACAGCCTCAGGTTTACAACTGACAGTCATGACAGAACAGTCGGGGAAGGCCATTTCCTTTTATGGCACGCTTGTCAAAAGACAAGGAGTCTATTCATTTCCCCTACAATTGGGCTCCAGAACCTACATGAGCTACATTTTCCACCAATATCTTTGACACAGAAATTGAAGCAAATTCTCCACCAACCTCAGTGTGACCATTAGCAGAGGCATCTGAGTACCAGCCACGCAGAATGTCATAAACACCAGCAGAATGAGGAAAGGCAGCAGTCTCTCACACGTGTTCTTGCAAGGTCCACTCGTTGCCATGGGAGAGATGATAACCTCATGGTTGGAGTAAACGGCTGAACCATCTCGGATACACGAGCATCCACTGTAGTTCTGTGGATGGAGACTCAAGTCAGCACTGGTAAAATGTTAGAGATGTTGTTAGTGATAATGTGAGGCTCACTGTTAGATTTGTAGTTAGAGATGTTGTCAGATTTCTTGTTAGATTTGTGGTTAGTGATGTTGCTAGAGATGTTGTTAGAGATGTTGTTAGATTTGTGGTTAGTGATGTTGCTAGAGATGTTGCTAGAGATGTTGTTAGAGATGTTGTTAGAGATGTTGTTAGAGATGTTGTTAGAGATGTTGTTAGAGATGTTGTTAGAGATGTTGTTAGAGATGTTGCTAGAGATGTTGTTAGAGATGTTGTTAGAGATGTTGTTAGAGATGTTGTTAGAGATGTTGTTAGAGATGTTGTTAGAGATGTTGTTAGAGATGTTGCTAGAGATGTTGTTAGAGATGTTGCTAGAGATGTTGTTAGAGATGTTGTTAGAGATGTTGTTAGAGATTTTGCTAGAGATGTTGTTAGATTTGTGGTTAGTGATGTTGTTAGAGATGTTGTTAGAGATGTTGTTAGAGATGTTGTTAGAGATGTTGTTAGAGATGTTGTTAGAGATATTGTTAGAGATGTTGTTAGAGATGTTGTTAGAGATGGTAGAATAATGAAAAATGTGGTTCTTAATATGATTCCAGGTTCAAATACACACTGGTTGACCTTTTATTCATGCTTGATAGCCTGTCACGTGAGCTATTCTATGTTACAGGGGTGTCACGTTATCTTGTCTCTGAAGCTATCAGCGGCGATGTCGCATGTTCTATACCACATTATGACACCACTTTTAACAACCCGAGAACATCTAGAACTGGCCCTAATCCCAACTCCCCTACCCCACAGCCTCAGCCTAGGTTCCCCAAGAGAGTCCACAGTACATCTCATGGTTTCAGAATTGTTAACATTTTCTGCTGCACCATAAAACAACTAGAACACTGGATACATAGTCAACTAGAACACTGGATACAGTCAACTAGAACACTGAATACACTGGATACACTAGTCAACTAGAACACTGGATACACCCTGATCAACTAGAACACTGAATACACTCAACTAAACACTGATACACTAGTCACTAGAACACTGGATATACAGTCAACTAGAACACTGGATACATAGTCAACTAGAACACTGAATACATAGTCAACTAGAACACTGAATACATAGTCAACTAGAACACTGAATACACAGTCAACTAGAACACTGAATACACAGTCAACTAGAACACTGAATACATAGTCAACTAGAACACTGGATACAGTCAACTAGAACACTGGATACAGTCAACTAGAACACTGATACACAGTCAACTAGAACACTGGATACATAGTCAACTAGAACACTGGATACATAGTCAACTAGAACACTGAATACATAGTCAACTAGAACACTGGATACATAGTCAACTAGAACACTGGATACAGTGACTAGAACACTAGACAACACAGTCAACTAGAACACTGGATACACAGTCAACTAGAACACTGATACACTCAACTAGAACACTGGATACACTAGTCAACTAGAACACTGATACACTAGTCAACTAGAAACACTGGATACAAGTCAACTAGAACACTGGATACATAGTCAACTAGAACACTGGATACACAGTCAACTAGAACACTGAATACATAGTCAACTAGAACACTGGATATACAGTCAACACTGATACACTAGATACACTGATACACTAGAAACTAGAACACTGGATACACTAGTCAACTAGAACACTGGATACAGTCAACTAGAACACTGGATACACATAGTCAACTAGAACACTGGATACACTAGTCAACTAGAACACTAGACAACACTAGTCAACTAGAACACTGGATAACCAACTAGAACACTGACATACATAGTCAACTAGAACACTGGATACATAGTCAACTAGAACACTGGATACACTAGTCAACTAGAACACTGGATATACATACACTAGATACACAACTAGAACACTGATACACTAGACAACACACTAGAACACTGATACACTAGTCAACTAGAACACTGGACAACAGTCAACTAGAACACTGGATACATAGTCAACTAGAAACTGGAATACACTAGTCAACTAGATACACTAGACACACTAGACACTAGTACACTAGACTAGAACACTGAATATACAACTAGACACTATACATACAACTAGAACACTGGATACACTAGTCAACTAGAACACTGACTAGTCAACTAGAACACTAGATAACATAGTCAACTAGAACACTGGATACACAGTCTAGAAACACTGGATACACTAGTCAACTAGAACACTGGATAACCCTAATCACTAGAACACTGATACACAGTCAACTAGAACACTGAATACACTAGTCAACTAGAACACTGGATACATAGTACACTAGAACACCCTACATAGTCAACTAGAACACTGGATACAGTACACTAGAACACTGGATACACAGTCAACTAGAACACTGGATACTAGTCAACTAGAACACTGGATATACAGTCAACTAGACACCTGATACACTCAACTAGACACACTGATACACTAGTCAACTAGAACACTGGATACATAGTCAACTAGAACACTGGATACATAGTCAACTAGAACACTGATACACTAGTCAACTAGAACACTGGATACAGTCACTAGAACACTGATACACTAGTCAACTAGAACACTGGATACACTAGACACTACAATACACTAGACAACTAGATACACTAGATAACCCTGAACTAGAACACTGGATACACTAGAACCCTGATACACTAGACAACCCTATACACTAAGAACACACTGGATACACTAGTCAACTAGAACACTGATACACTCAACAAACACTGAATACACTAGTCAACTAGAACACTGCATACACTAGTCAACTAGAACACTGGATACATAGTCAACTAGAACACTGGATACATAGTCAACTAGAACACTGGATACACAGTCAACTAGAACACTGGATACAGTCAACTAGAACACTGGATACATAGTCAACTAGAACACTGAATACATAGTCAACTAGAACACTGGATACATAGTCAACTAGAACACTGAATACATAGTCAACTAGAACACTGGATACAGTCAACTAGAACACTGAATACACAGTCAACTAGAACACTGAATACATAGTCAACTAGAACACTGGATACACTAGTCAACTAGAACACTGGATACATAGTCAACTAGAACACTGGATACACTAGTCAACTAGAACACTGATACACATACACTAGAACACTCTAATACACTAGTCAACTAGAACACTAGACACACTAGTCAACTAGAACACTGAATACATAGTCACACTAGAACACTGGATACACTAGTCAACTAGAAACACTGACAACATAGTACAACTAGAACACTGAATACACTAGTCAACTAGAACACTGGATACACTAGTCAACTAGAACACTGGATACATATACACTAGACACTGGATACACTAGTCAACTAGAACACTGGATACAACAACTATACACTAGAATACATAGTCAACTAGAACACTGGATATACATACAACTAGAAACTGGATAATACACTAGTCAACTAGAACACTAGATATACACTAGTCAACTAGAACACTGGATAACAGTAATCACTAGAGAACACTGGAATACATAGACAACTAGAACACTGGATACACTAGTCAACTAGAACACTGGACTGGATACACTAGACAACTAATACACTAGACAACCCTAGAACACTAGAACACTACACAGTAGTCACTAGAACACTGGACAACACTAGTACAACTAGAACACTGAATACACTAGTCAACTAGAACACTAGATAACAGTAATACACTAGACAACCCTAATACACAGTCAACTACTAGAACACTGGATACACTAGACTAGAACACTAATACACTAACTAGAACACTAATACACTAGTCAACTAGAACACTGGATACATAGTCAACTAGAACACTGGATATAGTCAACTAGAACACTGAATACACTAGACTAAACACTGAATACACACTAGTCAACTAGAACACTAGATAACACAGTACAACTAGAACACTGGATACACTAGACAACTAGAACACTAGATATACATAGTCAATACACTAGACACACTGGATACACTAGTCAACTAGAACACTGGATACATAGTCAACTAGAAACACTGATACACTAGTCAACTAGAATACACTGGACAACAACTAATACACTAGACAACTGAATACACTAGTCAACTAGAACACTGATACAACAACTAGAACACTGGATACACTAGTCAACTAGAACACTAGACACATAGTCAACTACACTAGACAACATAGTCAACTAGAACACTGGATACAGTCAACTAGAACACTGGATACACTAACTAGAACACTGGATACACTAGTCAACTAGACACTGGAATACATACAGTCACAAACCTGGATACACTAGAACACTGGACACAGTCAACTAGAACACTGAATACATAGTCAACTAGAACACTGGATACACATAATACACTAGACAACCCTAATACACTAGACAACCCTGATACACTAGAACAACCCTGATACACTAGTCACACTAGAACACCTGATACACTAGTCAACTAGAACACTAAACACAGTCCCTAGAACACTAAACAACATAGATACACTAGAAACCCTGGACACTAGTCAACTGAGAACACTACACTAGAAACAACCCTAATACACTAGAACAACTAGAACACTAGACAACCCTAGTCAACTAGACAACACTGATACACTAGTCAACTAGAACACACTAGATACATAGTCAACTAGAACACTGAATACACTAGAAAACCCTGATACACTACTGACACACTAGACAACCCTGATACACTAGACAACCCTGATACACTAGACAACACTATACACAACCCTGATACACTAGACAACCCTGATACACTAGACAACCCTGATACACTAGACAACCCTGATACACTAGACAACCCTGATACACTAAACAACCCTGATACACTAGACAACCCTGATACACTAGACAACCCTAATACAATAGACAACCCTGATACACTAGACAACCCTAATACACTACTGACACACTAGACAACCCTGATACACTAGACAACCCTAATACACTAGACAACCCTGATACACTAGACAACCCTGATACACTAGACAACCCTGATACACTAGACAAATACACCTAATACACTACTGACACACTAGACAACCCTAATACACTAGACAACCCTAATACACTAGACAACCCTGATACACTAGACAACCCTAATACACTAGACAACCCTAATACACTAGACAACCCTAATACACTAGACAACCCTAATACACTACAACAATACACTAGACAATACAGACAACCCTAATACACTAGACAACCCTAATACACTAGACAACCCTAATACACTAGACAACCCTAATACACTAGACAACCCTAATACACTACAACTATACACTAGACAACCCTAATACACTAGACAACCCTAATACACTAAACAACCCTAATACACTAGACAACCCTAATACACTAATACACTAGACAACCCTAATACACTAGACAACTCTAATACACTAGACAACCCTAATACACTAGACAACCCTAATACACTAGACAACCCTAATACACTAGACAACCCTAATACACTAGACAACCCTAATACACTAGACAACCCTAATACACTAGACAACTAATACACTAGACAACCCTAATACACTAGACAACCCTAATACACTAGACAACCCTAATACACTAGACAACCCTAATACACTAGACAACCCTAATACACTAGACAACCCTAATACACTAGACAACCCTAATACACTAGACAACCCTAATACACTAGACAACCCTAATACACTAGACAACCCTAATACACTAGACAACTCTAATACACTAGACAACCCTAATACACTAGACAACCCTAATACACTAGACAACCCTAATACACTAGACAACCCTAATACACTAGACAACTCTAATACACTAGACAACTAGAATACAAGACAACCTAATACACTAGACAACTCTAATACACTAGACACTAGACAACTCTAATACACTAAACAACCCTAATACACTAGACAACTCTAATACACTAGACAACCCTAATACACTAGACAACTCTAATACACTAGACAACCCTAATACACTAGACAACTCTAATACACTAGACAACTCTAATACACTAGACAACCCTAATACACTAAACAACCCTAATACACTAGACAACCCTAATACACTAGACAACCCTAATACACTAGACAACCCTAATACACTAGACAACCCTAATACACTAGACAACCCTAATACACTAGACAACCCTAATACACTAGACAACCCTAATACACTAGACAACTCTAATACACTAGACAACCCTAATACACTAGACAACCCTAATACACTAGACAACCCTAATACACTAAACAACCCTAATACACTAGACAACCCTGATACACTAGACAACCCTAATACACTAGACAACCCTAATACACTAGACAACCCTAATACACTAGACAACCCTAATACACTAGACAACCCTAATACACTAGACAACCCTAATACACTAGACAACTCTAATACACTAGACAACTCTAATACACTAGACAACTCTAATACACTAGACAACTCTAATACACTAGACAACCCTAATACACTAGACAACCCTAATACACTAGACAACTCTAATACACTAGACAACTCTAATACACTAGACAACCCTAATACACTAGACAACTCTAATACACTAGACAACCCTAATACACTAGACAACCCTAATACACTAGACAACCCTAATACACTAGACAACCCTAATACACTAGACAACCCTAATACACTAGACAACCCTAATACACTAGACAACCCTAATACACTAGACAACCCTAATACACTAGACAACTCTAATACACTAGACAACCCTAATACACTAGACAACCCTAATACACTAGACAACCCTAATACACTAGACAACCCTAATACACTAGACAACCCTAATACACTAGACATACACTAGACAACCCTAATACACTAGACAACCCTAATACACTAGACAACTCTAATACACTAGACAACTCTAATACACTAGACAACTCTAATACACTAGACAACCCTAATACACTAGACAACCCTGATACACTAGAACTCTAATACACTAGACAACTCTAATACACTAGACAACTCTAATACACTAGACAACTCTAATACACTAGACAACCCTAATACACTAGACAACCCTAATACACTAGACAACAGACACCCTAATACACTAGACAACCCTAATACACTAGACAACCCTAATACACTAGACAACCCTAATACACTAGACAACCCTAATACACTAGACAACTCTAATACACTAGACAACTCTAATACACTAGACAACCCTAATACACTAGACAACTCTAATACACTAGACAACTCTAATACACTAGACAACTCTAATACACTAGACAACCCTAATACACTAGACAACCCTAATACACTAGACAACTCTAATACACTAGACAACTCTAATACACTAGACAACCCTAATACACTAGACAACTCTAATACACTAGACAACTCTAATACACTAGACAACTCTAATACACTAGACAACTCTAATACACTAGACAACTCTAATACACTAGACAACCCTAATACACTAGACAACTCTAATACACTAGACAACTCTAATACACTAGACAACTCTAATACACTAGACAACCCTAATACACTAGACAACCCTAATACACTAGACAACCCTAATACACTAGACAACTCTAATACACTAGACAACCCTAATACACTAGACAACTCTAATACACTAGACAACTCTAATACACTAGACAACCCTAATACACTAGACAACCCTAATACACTAGACAACCCTAATACACTAGACAACCCTAATACACTAGACATCTCTGACACACAAGACAACCCTGATACACTAAACAACAGGTAAGAGAACTCACAAAACTATTCTCCTCCTTGCTGGGATCGTAGAAGTGGTTTGAACCTGTGCAACCCGCATGACAGGGTGAGAAGTAAGTGATCCCGTTGATGCCACAGATGGGCTGGATCTGGATGGTGGAGCAGGCGCAGTTCTGGTTACAGGATGATGTCAGATTAGCCTCGAAAATTTTGTGACCAGTACTGGAAAAAACCAGTTAACAAAGACTCATATTACAAATAGTTTCTTGTTGATTTCATTTTGTACATTGAGTCTAAATGTAAAGACCATAGAAGAAATATTTATTCATTCTTAGTTCAGTCAGCTGTAGGGGGCTCCATGGCAGTGTGGTCACAGTCAGTTGTAGGGGGCTCCATGGTAGTGTGGTCACAGTCAGCTGTAGGGGGCTCCATGGTAGTATGGTCACAGTCAGGGGCTCCATGGCAGTGTGGTCACAGTCAGGGACTCCATGGCTGTGTGGTCACAGTCAGCCACAGGGACTCTATGGCAGTGTGGTCACAGTCAGGGACTCCATGGCAGTGTGGTCACAGTCAGGGGCTTCATGGCAGTGTGGTCACAGTCAGGGGCTCCATGGTAGTGTGGTCACAGTCAGCTGTAGGGGGCTCCATGATAGTGTGGTCACAGTCAGTTGTAGAGGGCTCCATGGCAGTGTGGTCACAGTCAGGGGCTCCATGGTAGTGTGGTCACAGTCAGGGACTCCATGGTAGTGTGGTCACAGTCAGGGACTCCATGGTAGTGTGGTCACAGTCAGGGGCTCCATGGTAGTGTGGTCACAGTCAGGGGCTCCATGGTAGTGTGGTCACAGTCAGGGACTCCATGGCAGTGTGGTCACAGTCAGGGGCTCCATGGTAGTGTGGTCACAGTCAGGGACTCCATGGTAGTGTGGTCACAGTCAGGGGCTCCATGGTAGTGTGGTCACAGTCAGGGGCTCCATGGCAGTGTGGTCACAGTCAGGGGCTCCATGGTAGTGTGGTCACAGTCAGGGGCTCCATGGCAGTGTGGTCACAGTCAGGGGCTCCATGGTAGTGTGGTCACAGTCAGTTGTAGGGGGCTCCATGGTAGTGTGGTCACAGTCAGTTGTAGGGGGCTCCATGGTAGTGTGGTCACAGTCAGCCGTAGGGGGCTCCATGGCAGTGTGGTCACAGTCAGGGGCTCCATGGCAGTGTGGTCACAGTCAGGGGCTCCATGGCAGTATGGTCACAGTCAGGGGCTCCATGGCAGTGTGGTCACAGTCAGCTGTAGAGGGCTCCATGGCAGTGTGGTCACAGTCAGGGAGCTCCATGGCAGTGTGGTCACAGTCAGCTGTAGGGGGCTCCATGGCAGTGTGGTCACAGTCAGCCACAGTGGCTCCATGGCAGTGTGGTCAAGCTGTTCGTCTTAAACTCTAAATGTCATGTGTTTGTTTCACAGACTTGTTGTTCAGTTCATGAGTGCAGTTTTTCCAGAGTTGCCTGAAGATCAGTGCTGGAGCTATGGAATTAGTGCTTTGTGTATTCTACACCCTGAGGTGGCTTGTTGTTCTGCAGAGAGAGACCAAGCCATCTAGAATAACTGGATATACAGAGCTCACAATCAATAACTGTGTAATCTAAAAATTTCAAACAAAATAAAATTAAAATAAACTAAAACTAGATGACTGAGAAATAAAATGTAATGAATGGAAGGGGAAGGTCAATTCTAAAAGAAAAAAAAAATAGAACATTAAAAAGACAATAAACAGCATATACATATATCTAACCACTAACCTATCCACACATACACGTGTTTAAATAATGGATAAAAGATAGACATTAGATCAAAGAATGTTTTATATTAATTTGAAGTGCTGCAAAATCCATAAGTTTTTCTGGCCAGTTTGAAGCTCTCAAACATGTGCAGATATTTAAATGGATATTAGCCAGAAAAAAAAAAACAGGTTGTAAACAGGGGACATTAAATCCTTTAGACGAGTTAGAGCCCATAAGATAGATAAAATGGTTCTCAAGAGACTTACAGACTCTCTCACTAGAGTGGCTAGACTTGATGGCCATAACCTGCATGTCGAGGACACCCTTGGTGACCCCGAGAATTGAAATGCATCAGATCTGGTTTTAGAGCACCATTCTACACATCAAGAAGGTGTTGCCTAAACCTATAAGCTAGTCAATCGCCCGATTTCCCAGATGCACTTCATTCCATATTTTTCACAGATCATCATCATCATCATCATCATAAACCACTTCTGTCGTTAAGCGGCGCAGGGAGGAATAATTTGCGATCCTGTGCATGTTGGCTGCCACTGGCTATTGTCATGCCGTGAAGGTGTAGAGTGTCTTTAACGTTGTCAATCCATTATTTCCGCGGTCATCCTCTTGCTCTTGTAGTTGATCTTCTGAGATGTAGTGCTTGTGATGGTATTTGATCTTGCTGCATTCTAGCGAGATGGCCAAACCACTTGATCTGCTGTGTCTCGATGAATATAATACAAGGTGTCGTTCTCACAATTTGCCTGATAGTTTCATTATTCACTCGATCTCGGATGGTTAGGTTGGCTGCTTTTCTCAGGCCCCTCATCTTGCAGGTGGTGATTTTGCTTATATGGGCTTTAGATAGTGTCCATGTTTGGCACTGGTAGCTTAATGTTGGAATGAATATGCTATTAATAATCTGTCTCTTTGCACTCATAGTTATGCTTGGATGTCTTAATAATGGTGACAATTGGTGCACTTGCTTTCTGACAGATGATGGCGTAAATTATATTGCAAAAGAATCCTTTCCATTTGTGGAAGTGGCATTAAGCCGCATTATAAAAGTAAAAGATGTGAAACTAAGAAATATAATATAAAATTATGTGATTTAGAAGAAACACTGTGAAACTAAGAAATACAATACTAAATTATTTGATTCAGAAGAAGCATTATGCACCTGTTGAAGTATGGGAAGTTAGCTCCAGCAATCCTCACATTATCACATCCCATGTAGAAGAAAAACGAGAAGCCGCAAAGAGCCAGCGTGTTGAGCAGAAGGACAAACTTGATGGCTCCTTGAATCACAAAATGAACATCATCATAATAGAAATAAAACATAATTTGCAACAGTCAATCAAAACTTCAATAAAATATTTGGTTCATCTATTTTCTAGTCAATCTTTTTATAATTTAATCATTAAAAGTTTAAGGATACTTTATAACGGTTAATTAAAACTTAAACATCAATCTATCCCACCATCTGTTCCTTCTAAAATATTTTCCAAGCTTTTTGTTTTTTATCTTTTGTCACATTTCTTAGTTTTAAAAAATGTATGTTCTTGAAACAATAGAAGTATTTCTTCTCAACCTCTCGTTCTTTTTCTGCTTCTATTTCTGCCGTTGTTGCTGCTGCCTCTTCTTCTTCTTCCTCTTCTTCTTCTTCTTATTATTATTATTATTATTCATCTTCTTTTTCTTTTCCTCTTCTTCTTCTTCTTCTCCTTTTTCTTCCTCTTCTTCTTCTTCTTCTAATCATCACTTTGCGTTTGTTGCAAGTGACTCACACTTTATCTTCCACATCCATCTTCTGTGATCGTGTTTCAGTTTCCAAGTCCCCAATGAGAGAGTCTATTGGCTCTGTATTCTAGGGTCTCTGAGCTATTTTGCTAAGATTAGTTTGGAAATCTGGTGTCAGTTTTACTGATAACATTTTGCCATAAAACATTGACAGCCTTGGGTGACTGGATGAAATCTGGCCAACCTAAGTCACTCACCTTTGGGAGACAAGGCCAGTCGTTTCATGATGTAACCACCCATGAGAATGCCAACAACAGCTCCAGGTATACCAATGCCACCTGTGAGGCATCACAGAGATAGAGAAACAAAATAAAAGTGAACAAATTTGGCTATCTTTGGTCAGGGCACAGAGGGATGCAGAGCACAAACTGTTAAATCTTACCAAAGATCGCAGGTTGTAGAGAGGCAACATTGCCCACACCAGTTGGCAGGTATTTCATCAGAGCTGGATTAGGATTCTTTGATGCAGTAAAAAAAAAAGATTTTGCCCTTCCTCCCAACCATCCCCAGCACATAAAAGATGTTGATGCCTCCCAGAGCCATCGTAACAGCATTTTGGGCCCCTGGGTAAACTGGTGTGCTGGGGCCCCTACAGAAACCACAAACAAGAATGAAATGTAAATAGTCCCTTGACACACACAGAGATTAGCATGAAGCCCATATGCTTAAGGGGCCCCCAGGAAAGTGTCCAATAGGCCTATGCATTAAGATAGCACCGGCAACCCATTATAAAGGTAATTCAAAATATAAACCGAGAAGGCATTCCAGCCTGCCACGTTGGGTTATTGTTCTGATGGGATTTTTCAATATAATTCAACTTAGAAAACAAAACACTCAGCTTCAAGGCTATTGAAAATTTTTGTAGTGCCCCCTCACTTTGTGATGCTCTTAACACATGCTTAGTGTGCTTAATGGTTAATCTGGCCATGTACTTCATGATGAGGATGTTGGAGACAGCAAGAAGTTAAACATTATTGCTCATGCCAGCCAGAAAGGCTCTTGATGATATTAATGAGGATGATGCTGGTTAGAAGAAAATTGTAACAATGGCTGGCAGAGTAAAGGTTACATCAAATAAGAGCAAATCTCACCTGTAAACAGGTTGGCTAAAGAAGTCGAGGTACCAAACTGCGACTCCAGGTATTTGGGGAGGAATACAACAAATCCACTGACGATACAGATCTCACAGCAGATGGCTGGCAGCATTACTGTGTACACGGGGTTCTTGATCAAGTGCACTACTGCTTTTGGGATATCTGGTTCAAAACAAACAAACAAAACTTTAAATTTTGTGATTTGGCTTGCTGAAAACTGGAAATCTGGCATGAAATAATCAGATTCATAATGTACATTCATTTCTTTTTAAAACAATATATACTATAATGATATATACTTTTGTAGGGATTAGACGTATATTACATTACGTTTTTTTTTTTTACACTACCCTCTCTGCCATTTTTGTAAAGGAAAAATAATATGAGCCAAGTATGTCAAAATGTATGGGCCTGAAAGAGTTGAGGGCTCTGTTGTTATTGCTAGAGCATTAACATATTTACCTGATCAGTACTTGCCGCACCGTCTTTGAAAATTGTAGTTCGGCAATTTGGGGAAGATCTTACCGTGAGTACTGACAAAATAGAAACTATGGTTCTATCAAAGAAACGAATGACACCAAAATTGGGATATAAGAAGTGAAGAACTAATTGTACCTCGTTAACAAATTCTGATAAGGCGAGGATTGCCAGTAAGCGCGGAAGCAAAAGCAGAACATGAAAAGCATCTTACGTAATTTAATGTTTTTTAAATTCCTTTCAACTGCTATGAGAGTACATGGGGCAGTCTGGCCATATGACACCACCCCCCCCCCCCCCCAAACGGTCAGAAATTTGATGTTGCCAGAGATCCTAGAATACAGATCCAAGATTCTCTGTGATTGGTGACTTGGAAACTGAAACCTGATCACCGAAGATGTACATGGAAGATAAATATATATAATTGTAAAAGAAGGTTACTCTTTAAGGTTCAAGGACTTGAGTTTTCCCAGCACATCTGTTTTACAGATCTGATGTTTTTATGCAGAGAGATGGTTCCTCGTCTCTCCGGCAGATGCGCTCAGATTAACTTCAGATGAAAAATCCCAAATTAGTTACTTTTTACGTCATGCCTAATAGGGAGGATGCGGAACAAATTTCTCCCTCCACTTCCAATGGGGCTCTAGAAGCCACCCGGAAAAACTGTCTTCAAATGTATTTGTTACTGTTTATAATTTCATGTTAATCCAGATGTATTACTGTTTTTATTTCCTATTCAGCATTGTATTATTACTGGAGTGTTTAAATCACCACTGATCACTGGCATCATGAGAGCTAATAGACTGAAATGGTTTGGGCATACTGAAAGAATGTCAGATGACAGAGAAGTAACAACTGTTGAGAAGAATAGTTGTAGACCACGAGGGAGACCAAGAAGACGATGGAGAGATAACGTCCAGACAGACCTGCAAACATTTGAAAAAGAGGGCCCACGAGAGAGACGGATAGAGGCGGGTGATATCTGCAGCAATGAACCTCAAGGTCTTGGAATGCTGAAGAAGAAGAAGAAGAATTATTACTGTGCCCCTCAACTAGAATTAGGCCCCTTTGGCCTATAAAATATGTAAGGTTACCCCCCCCCCCCTCCCACCCCTTTCCACCCTCAGTATTTGATTTAGGTATAATCCAATCCAAATACGCTTCAGTTATAGTCTCGCCATTTGTAGGGGCCTAAGGAAAAGTAATAGTTTGCTCACAAATATTTTTTTCTTTTCTCCTTTCACTTGGTTTCATAGAGTGGCATGTCACCCAGCCCATCTTTTGATGACGTAATCAATGATTTTGTTTTGGGGAAATCAAGAAAAAGTGTTTCAAGTCGTGATTGCAAGCTTTTAGATGATTTCTTTGATTTTGCAAACACGTTCTTCATTACTGCTTTTAAAACAATTTAACTGACAGTATGTTTCCCTTATCAATATATTTTAAAAGTGTATATAATTTAGACCTGGTTACAGAACCTGACTGACTGGACAGGCCTCAGGCATGCAACCATCAAGTCCATCACAACTGACCGCCTAGGGTGGAGAGAGCTGATCAGGCAGTCAACAGAAACTGGTGACCCAACGACATGTACATTTAGTGTTATGGGATGATGATGATGATGATATAATTTAGTTTTCTCAGATTAGCTGCTGTAATTCAAAACGCTAGGGGCCTCGTGGCTTGTGTTTACTGAGGCCTCATCCAGTCTAAATCCAGCCCTCTGTTTCTGTGGCTGACTCGCTGGCTGAAAGATAACAGATCTGGGCGGAAGTTGGCGATGAATTTGAAGGTTGCGTGATGCAACAGCAAAAGCATCCCTTCTCTGCTGCCTGAGTTTCCCTTTGAACTCACAATGAACACCAATGAACGCCCGTGCACTTCGCTTGCCCCAAATTACTGATTCATCCCCGTAAACCCCAGTCTCATCATTTTCATCTGTGTGTTCACTAACTATCGATTTGATCAGAGTCTACTGTACCGTGAATCTGCTCCCTGCAGCTTCCATCAAGTGTTAATTGGACTGCAGTATTCATGTTTGGCTCAAGATGTAGAGATATCTGTTCATTCTCTACGTAGAGATTAACTCAATTTTCTACAATCCCCGCCAAAGACAGCCTTCGGAATCGATACAACAGCAGAAGTGAGGACAGCCCAACTCTAGAATCTACAGTGGCAGTTACAAAAACACCCAACTCCAAGACCAGGAAGGAAACTATTGATTCTGGCCTCTCTACAACCAACAGTCAACAAATTGGACGGACAGTAGCGAAAGCATTCTATACTCCACACAAACTCTCTCTCTCTCTCTCTCTCTCTCTCTCTCTCTCTCACACACACACACACATGGACACACACAGACACACATCGCCTCTGTGCTCTTCAAACGTGGATTACCTGTGTTTGTACGTGTGTCTGTTTGCAAGCATGACCGTTGGCTTGCATGCTTTATATACTGCAGGTTATGTAAACAACACACTGCCCCAGAGACGTGTCAGGAAATGCCTAACTAAACAGATTCAGGCTGTTGTCAAGTTTCTCCTGATTGTTGCCAACCTGATGTTTAGTTAAACAGTCAACATTTAGTTTTTCAGCGGGACGTAGCCGCATCAAGTGATAAACTTGTAATAAACGGTCAAAACCGGCGGAAATAATAGCAGGTTATTTAAACCAATATTCGGAGAAGGCACTGGTAAAACTGTAACGTAAACCAACACGATTTTTAGGGGGGGGGGGGTGACAAACCGGTGGCGCGTTAATTAGGAAGAAAAAAACACTTGAACTGCTTGTTTGCAGTAAATCTGAAAACGCTTAAACTACTTGTTTACAACCAATCTGACCTTAATGGACGAGGTGAACATGACACCCCACACTGTGCCAACAGACTTCGGGCGAGGGAGTGCACACAGGCGTGCAGTAGCCTCATTCCAGGAAGATAAAACGCATTCTTATTCGTTTGCCTCCTTAGCAGAACATAACACTCAGGTCTGGAAAGATAGAAAGATGCCAACAACAACAGAAGACGCAGCTTAACCAGGTACTTGCAATGACCAGAAGTTTACCAATGAGGACACAAAAACATCTGAACGCTTCAATCCTTGGCCGAGGACATGTGGAGAATGACTGACTGACTGACTTTCTATCCCACCAGGACATCACACAAGCGATATAACACACTATGACACAATGTGCCACCATGTGGATCACCGTGGAGAGGTCCCAGAAACCGCGTTCATCCATTAGGCCATATTTATGGCCTGGCTATATTGCGGCCCCTGGCAAGAGCCAAGGTGGGACTTGAAACAAAGAAAAATGTCTTCCTAAAAAGGACGACGAATAGGAATACTAGGCAATGCATGTCGGAAAATGGTCAGAAATAGTTTTAATATACTCATTGCCCACTATTCGTCGAATGAAGTTGATTTTCAGCGATGACACCTGGTCTCGCAGTGTGTTTAAATAGGCATGCACCTTATGGTTGGCCAGATTAAATCTGTGTGTGCTTTGCTGATTGATGACACTTTATATGGCTACGGCATTCATCTGAAGTATCAGCGTTTCTGACTCAGTTTGTGACTGCAAACACGAGCGAAAAAAAAATCACTGGCATTGGCGGTTGAGTAATTACGGACCAAGCTCGTTTGCTGTGACGCCGGAACCGTAACGAATAACTAACTGTAACCTAGGTTGCTAGCAATGAAAAATAAATGGTATCACAGGAAAGATCAATACAGCGGAAATTGGGACAAATAAGACAGGAAAAGCTGCTCTGATAATTAATTAGCACGGCATGCTTCAACAGTTGATGTGACAGGAATCATTTATCGCCAGTCATAACAGGCGAAACCAGGTTCTGTTATATCTGTGAGGTAATTTCATGGATGTGGCTATATGTAGGGCAGAGAGAGGGGAGGCAGAGACAGATGGATCTGCAAAGAATATATCTGTGAGGTAATTTCATGGATGTGGCTATATGTAGGGCAGAGAGAGGGGAGGCAGAGACAGATGGATCTGCGAAGCATATATCTGTGAGGTAATTTCATGGATGTGGCTATATGTAGGGCAGAGAGAGGGGAGGCAGAGACAGATGGATCTGCGAAGCATATATCTGTGAGGTAATTTCATGGATGTGGCTATATGTAGGGCAGAGAGAGGGGAGGCAGAGACAGATGGATCTGCGAAGCATATGCGAGGAGAGAGAAGGCTGAAAGGAAATGTAGAGGAAGGGTGAGGGGGTCTGCAAAGACCTTGGGAACACAGAGAGAGACCGAGAGAGAGACCGAGAGAGAGACCGAGAGAGAGAGACCGAGAGAGACCGAGAGAGAGATGTCTACATAGTAAATGCGCGGAGGGTGGGGGAACAGGTCTTCAAAGAAGATATGGGGGAGGAGCGGGGGTCTGCAAAGAACATGCGGCAGACGAAAGCCCTGACGCCATTACCGAACTCACCCCTGAGAGATCTGCCATAGTGTTTGTCCTCTGCCACGTCATCGGGGATATTCTGCAGCAGCGCTTCTTTCGTCTTGGTTTCCTCAATCCGCCTCCTCTCCTTGACCAGCACCCGGGGGTAGGCCAGGAAGGGCAGGGCCAGAAGCAGCAACAACACACCACAGATGACAAAGCCACCCCACCAGGCGCCGATCCAGCGGGGGTTGCCGCTGGTGATCTGGGTCTCGTGGCTGAACGTGTCCACGTAGTACTGCAGGAGCAGGGCTCCGAGGGCGTACCCCAGCACGGGGCCTAGGGCCCCCGATGCATGCATGGAGGCTGAGGAGATGGCAAGATACAAGCACTGTTAGATGATTAAAGATACAAACACTGTTTGGTGATTCAAGATACAAACACTGTTTGGTGACTCAAGATATAAACACTGTTTGATGACTCAAGATATAAACACTGTTTGGTGATTCAAGATACAAACACTATTTGATTACTCAAGATACAAACACTGTTTGATGATTAAAGATACAAACACTGTTTGATGATTACAGATACAAACACTGTTTGATGACTCAAGATATAATAACTACATTGTTTGATGACTCAAGATACAACCACATTGTTTGATATCTCAGTTGTGGACTGACAGAGTGCGCGCTTGCTGCGTATGTGTGTGTGTGTGAGAGAGAGAGAGAGAAGAGAGAGAGAGAGAGAGAGAGAGAGAGAGAGAGAGGTGGGAGTTTTGTGTGTTCTTCCTTTTTACTTCTTTGCATTCATCGGTAGTAAGCTCTGGTGGAAAGTTGTGGTTGTTCGTCCACCTTTGGACCCTAGTCTTGTTCCAGAACAAGTGGGTTGTCGTTAGGCGTGGCAGGCACGGCTAATGATCGGTTTCTGTGATTGTGAGCTCTCGTTAGCTTGCTGCATGCTGATATTTTTGAGTTTCAGCAGGTTATTAACTCCCTCTATCCATTTCGTCTTGGCCTTCCTCTGCATCTTAATGTTTTAATTCTCAAGCTGTGTGCTCTTGCAGCTGGTGACGCTGGGTTTATTCTCAACGGGTGGCTAAAATCATTTCAGTCTTTGTTTTTCAATAAATCTAATTACAGGTGTTGTTCCCGCCGTTCTAAAGATATCTTCGTTCCTTTCGTGGTCTTTTCTTCTTATGTTAACTGCTTTTGTCAAACATCTCTTGGCACTGGTAATGCAGTGTTTGTTACAAGATTGGGTTTGTGATTTGTCTGTTAGTTTCCATTGTTAGCACTGGTAACGCAGTGTTGGTTACAAGATCGGGTTTGTGATTTGTCTGTTAGTTTCCATTGGTACTGCTTGGGTTTCAGTATTGGGGACAGCTGATAAGTAACACTTTTGGCTTGATGGATTCTGGACTCGATCTCTGTGTCCAGTCTGCCGTTTGATGTGAAGATTTATCCGAGGTATTTGAATTCACCCAAATGTTTTAGCGATTTGATTTGATTTGATTCAAGAACCGACATCACAGCACTCGGGGCATTCCCATAAGCGCTCTGTCCCCATCTTCAGCAGCCAGCGAAGAGTTCAGATACTAATGGTACCAGTAGCATTCTGATTAAACGTCCGTCTTGCCTTTCCTCTGAGCCTCGAGCATCTATCAGAACCTCTCGTCACCCCCAACCGCATCAATCTCCCCAGACTGTGGTGATCCATCTGCTCATCCGAACTGTACACGCTCTCCAACAAGGCACTAACCACGTCTGCCTTATCATGTATCAGTATTCCACCAAGTGACCCGGTGAAAAATCCAGACAATACTCCTCACCCGTGTCCTCCGCAGCGAAGCATGCCACTCTGCACGAAGCATACCTGTTCTGATCTTCCTCAGCATGCTTTCTGAATCAGTTACAATCACGATGTGTGTGTGTGTCGTGTTCTCTAGCCAGCGGAAAGCTGCAGTGACCGCCACCACCTCCATTCTTAAGCTGGATGTTGTGGTATCATATGCTAGGCTCTCCTGCACCAAACATCGACCATTAACTTTTGCTAAGAAGCCCCAAGCACTTCTTTTGCCTCTTGACACTGAACCGTCTGTGTAAATGATCAAATCCTCTGAGCGAGCATTATCTTGAATTAATTGCTGAATTTCCACCTCTGTGGGACCTGCTGGCCAGTCTCTGCATTCCTGGCTCAGCGTGATTATGACTCTACACAAGTCTGACTGTTCAGGTGGCACTTTGACCCACTCCTCTCCTCGCCTAATGTTCTCAAGGATGCAAACCTGTCTGATTGTGTCTTCTGCCTGAGCCATCCATGACCTCCCTCTTATAATGGAATCAATGCCGAAGGGTTGCGATATCCATAGTACCGAGCCAAAGGGTTTACAACTCATGGTTTCTGGATACGTAAAAAAAAAAAAAAAAAAATTAGCCGCTGACCGTTAACTGCACCCAGAACTTCATGCAGAGGGTGGTCTGTGTCTGCAGCTACCTTGAGATATGACTTCGCCTGCAGCACCTCGTGCCTACCTGCAACCGTCAGCAAACCAAGTATGTATTGCATAGACACCACTGGGGTGTCTCTGGTGCAATCCAGAATGACCCGCATAGCCGCTTTCTGTATGCGCTCTAGTTTGTTTTAGTGAATATTAGTTAATTTAAACGTCGATATTTTTTCCCCCTATTTGTGGTCATGATTTCGGGGTTTTTTCAGTGTTGATCTTCGTGTTGTTCTTGAGACAGCTATAGTGGAGTATGTCATCTGTCTGATTTAACTAATACATTTTTTTTAAATAGCGTATAGATCCCTGGGAAAACATATCTGTTGCTCTGGCGGGACAGCAGATTTGTGTCAAATTATGTGAAAACTGCATATATTTAGTTTTATAGAAGAATAATGAGAACACATTGGAGCAGATTAATTCTGTGAATGCCACATGATTCAGCTACATATAGACAAGGAGACACACTTAGCACAGTCAAATGTAACACCCACTATACATTGGCTGCTACAGCTGGGCAACTGCTGATCATACACGCCATTGTGTATTGTTTGTGGCCATAAGGGTTAAAACAAAACAGAAAAAGAAAAAATACGAAATAAAAACAAAAACTGGTTCCCGCCTACGGAATTAGGCGACCCAAATTCTTTGAGAACTTGGTGAGAAAAGAAAAGCTAGCCTGTACCGTGATAACAGGAAAGTTTGAGGGAAGAGAAGTCAAAGGAGACCCAAAAAAGAAGATGCTGGAAAGTCAGGCCTCATGACATGGGAAAATATATCAGAAATGATTGGCAATACACAAGATAGAATGAGTTGACAGCACCCAGAAGTTACGCCTTAAGAAACTGTCATGGCTGTAACAAAAATCTGGGGATACGATGGGGTGAAAGGAAATGAAAGAGCCATAGATTGACCATATTGTATCTGCAATGATTGATGGAGGAAGAAGTATAATCCGAGCAGACCTATTAAATCCGCTGTGCGTTCTAGAGACTTTGAGACAAGCCAGCCAAAGACGATGAACCGCCAGACAGAAAGAACATATGCTAATCAACTCATATTGGCTACTTTGAACATGGTGACACTGAGATGGCTGCTGCATGGGAGGACGTATCATGGGGGGATCGGATCGATATGCTAGGACATGGATATGGACAACAAATACGTAATAAGACAGAAGACCGTTGGCAGACCTCTGGCCAAGGTCACACGGCATGAATCATAAGATGTGTAAGGTAATGTCAACAGAAGGTACTCACCCAGGTACGCTGGTGATGCTTCCTTGGCCACATGATTGTCCACATAAGTGATCCCCAAAGTCATGATGGGCGTTCCACCTGTCCCAATGAGAATCTGAGCGGCAACCAGTAGCAGCACGTAGCCCCAGTTTCCCGAGTTCTGCTGGATACACATCACATCATCCGGGTGCTGGCCTAGTCGTCTGCAGATGTTCTCGTCGCTGGTAACGTTATTCTCCGCCATTCTCGACCGAACTGAATACTTGGGCGCGATGATATGAGGCAAAGAAAACAGCAACGACCCAGTTCCCATCATTAGAACCCCAAAACCAATCCATTTCGGGATGTGGCGAGAAGCTCCGAGAAAGGACACAAATATAACCGCGACCAGATTCCCAAACTCATAAGCCGCAGCGATCAAACCAGACACCGAACTGCCAATTTCGAATCTGGAAAATAAGAAACAATGTTACATCGAAGGACATTATATCTAGATTCTGTCGCGGCACAACAATGGGCTGTCTGGCTTTACGGGGTAATGATTTTCTATCTTCACGCATACTAAAACACTGCCCTTTCTTGCTTCATCCATACTAAAACATTTCCTTTTTATACGTAGCTTTATCTATAGACGCACAATGGTAACTATGTATTTGTTAGTTAGTTAATTAGTTAGTTAGTTGGGTTATCCTCATTGCACTCCGGACATGTCCATAGGTGCTCAGATCCTCCCCTTAGTATGAACCCCAACGTCCGATGGCTAATAGTACCAGTTCTATGTTGATTAGCAAGTCTTCTGGCGTTTCTGCTGTGTGTGGTAACTATGTATATTTTACGACAATGAAACGCATGGTTATATAAACGCGCGTTTTTATTAGTAGACTAGAAAGTCTATAAGTCTAAAAACAATGGAAGACCCAGATGCACATGGATGACGAAGTGTCAATTGATTGGTTGAACACTAAGATATTCCTGTGTCCAATTTGAACAGTTTCACTAATTAAATTACACAGATTTTGAATCTTTGTTATTTAGGACAAATTATGTTGCTTTCAGTAGTTATGTGGTGTGACAATTAACGGTTAGAGTTTACAGGTGATGGTACCATTGACTTTCTAGTTTCACCCGTCATAAGACAATGATTCAGTGCACTAGAGAAGTTAGTGACGAACCAGAGACAGCATGTTTACAAAGTTAACGTTATGGTAGTTAGTGACCAACCAGAGACAGCATGTTAACAAAACTAAAGTTGTGGTAGTTGGTGACGAACCAGAAACAGCATGTTAACAAAGTTAACGTTATGGTAGTTAGTGACCAACCAGAGACAGCATGTTAACAAAGTTAACGTTATGGTAGTTAGTGACCAACCAGAGACAGCATGTTAACAAAACTAAAGTTGTTGTAGTTGGTGACGAACCAGAGACAGCATTTAAGAAAGTTAAGGTGATGATAGTTAGTGACGAACCAGAGACAGCATGTTAACAAAGTTAAAATTATGGTAGTTAGTGACGAACCAGATACAGCAAAGTTAACAAGGAGATCGGGCGGAGTTAAGTTAACAACCAGAAACTAATAGACAAAATCAACGGAGGTTACGACTGTTTGAGCCTACACAACAGAGAAATCATAATTAAACTGTAGCCTTGAGTTCTAGAAAAAAGATAACCAGATTTCCAACAAACTAGAGCAAAGATGTGAATCAGAGATCAGGGCTCAACAAGCGCTACAAATAAATCAGTTAATTGGGAATTTTCTTTGAACTTCCAAATGCTATATGTAATCGAAGAAATGGCAAAATCAGCATTTTAACTGGCGACATGAAAGGCCAGATAACATGAGCTGAGGCAAGTAGTTTCTTCTTCTTCTTCTTCTTCGCGTTCACCAGCTGTACACTCTGGCGGAAAGTTCTGGTTGCTCGTCCATTACTGAACTGCAGTCCTGCTCCAGAACCTGAGTGTTGCGTGTGCATCAGTTTTACAGATCTCATTCTCTTGAATACAGACTGTTGGTTCCTTGCCTCTCCGGCAGATGCACTCCGACTTCAAAGGAAGCTCCCCAATTAGTCGACTCTTACGACATGCTTTTGGGGAGGCAGTGGGTTTATTTTTGTTTTCCCTACAATGGGGCCCCGGAACCCACACGGGGGGCAAGTAATTTCAATAGAAGACAATTTTTACGACATTCGTGTATCGGGTATATTGTGCTCAACCTATATTGTATAGATCAGTCGCTGGCCGGCTACCTTTGCTTCCCAGGTCATTGCCAGCTACCCAATTTTAGACAAGGTCGAACTCGGAGCCAAGGTCAGTTCTGAAGGAGGACAAGAAATCCGCCTCAATACGGATTTGAACTGGAGATCTTGGGGCCGGGTAGCAGTTCTCTAACACAGGAATACAGGTGACCTTTACTGACCCTACTTGCTGGCATGTCATCTTGGCTGATCTGGTTTTTACAATATGCATTACTGAAACTTTTTTTTTTTTTTTTTGGGAAAAGATACAAAAGACGAGTAAGGAGTATTTGAAAGGAAACAAACAGGGTGATTCATCGTTAGGTTATCTTACCTCTTCTCGATGGTCGTGATAACACTGTTGAGGTATCCGGTAGTCAAAGCCGAGGCCACCACAATGAGAGCACACATGAAACACACGAACATGTTAATGTTTGCACACAGGAGAAAGCACTGCGGTCTGAAGCGGCCAATATGGCACTCATTATCTTCATCATCTTCGTCGTCATCTTCCAATATGATATTGTTTTGTGTATCTTCGTTTCTTTTATTGTCTGTCCGCAGAAGCTCAGCCCGGCTGTTATCAGACTGTCCACTGACTGTGCTCTCCACTCCCAAAGAAAACTGACCTTGGCTCAAGTCGCCTGGAGATTGCGAGTCACAAGGCCTAGTGTCAGTGTGGGTATCGTCCATGATATCAGTGACACAGATGTGGAATATTTTTTTCTTCCCGTTGTTGGAGGTTGGAGCGCACGTCTCCGAAAAGTTGCAGCCGTCGTTTGTGGGCAACATCGCGAAACCTTTCCGGTCTGGTTTTCTCATTCATTGATCTCTTCATTGCAGCTTCATTATTGTCGCAGTTACAAGCTAGAACTTCAGTTGACGGATGTGAATGTTGACTGTTCCTGTCTTAAGTTTGTGGCCAACTCCAGGGAACCGACCTTGGGTGTGACCATTAGATTCTGTGTATAAACATGTTCACTTAGTCAAGATTCTGTTTCTGCACGGTTCAAGAAGATACGTAGAACTACTTGGCATAAACATTGAAGATCAAAGTGCAATACAAATAGGTTGCGATTAGTTTTGTCTTGTCCTATGTTGTGGATTTAAATGCAGGAGAAATCCAGCATCCGACACGTCACTGTTAAATGTGTCATTCATTACACGTAGCTTCTTCGCGACTTCGCAAAGCAACAGACGCTAATGTCACGACTTCAGATTTCCATAACGCGAAGAACTCATAACTTTTATGATGTTTACAGAACCTACAAAATTCTGCTTCCTGTCAGTTCTGTTTCCAATTGAATAAACACAAATATTTAGCCACATAATATACTAGTCGATAAGTGTGAGCCCTGGCATGAAGATTTGACCGATGCCTGCTGCTGGGGTCGGGAAAACATGTTGCCCCCAGTCCGTGAATGTTGTGAAAACATGTCTGCAGTGTCGGCAGTTCCACAGAACCTCATAAATGTTGTACTTCGCCAACGATATGCCAGTTGTCTGTCAAATTATGGCTGCGGCCGAGAGTCTGTAGCTTGTCTTGGTATTTTACCTGTTGATGAAAAAAAATGTGGTCAGGTTAGGAGAAAGTTCTACTGGCTTCAAATAAGTGACGAGGCGAACAAGACTGAGTTTTTTCCAGGCAGACCGGGATGAGAGCGACGTTCTAGAAAGGATCTGTTACATGATGATGATGATGATGACGACGATAAGAGTCAAGAGACATAATAAAAGTATAAAACCAAACTGAGGTGAAAAGTGGAAGGCAGACGAGATATAGGAAGACAACGATACAAGTGGAAGATAACATAAAGAGAGAGGCGAACCGTTGCTATACAGTCCAGAAACAGACCTCCAGCAAACGTTGACGATACACAGCGTGCATTATGTACGGCTAAGTCGGATGGCATCGACTGACTTGATTAACTGATTGATAATTAATGATTTACTGTGCGAAACATAAGCTAGACGACTTCTGCGGTTTACTTAAAAGCAATCCATAGAGACCGCACCAGAAACAGGTTGTACGACGCATTTCCTCTGCTATGTTTTTCAAAACTGACCTTGGCTCCCAAGGACGAACCAGCCTAAAGTGAGCCCTGTGTCCTGGGAAGTAAAGGCGACCAGAATGACGTTGACCATGCTCATCTCGACTAGTCTACAATAACTGTCATGCTCGATGTGTCAATGGCGTGAAAAAAGTCCTTCACTTTAGCACAGGGGCGCCGCCGTAATGTAGTAGCTAGACTCCCGCCTGCGGCTCCGAAGGTGGTGGGCTCAGGTCCTGAGGAAGTCAAAGGCGGCTGGCATAATGTTGACCACATCACTCATCGAGTGCTGACTGGTCTACAAAATAAATATCTCGCCCTATATGCCCAATACGACTGAAGGAATAGCAAAGGGCCCTTAACTTATTCGACTTTACCTTAACTCGGCGAAGAAAGAAGAAACTGACTGTTGTGGAGTCTAGTTCCTGTATTGATTTAACGAGTTGTTCTCCGGGTATTATCTTTTATATCATTAGCTTTGCTACTGTTTCTTGGTATCTTTTTTCTTGGCAGACAGACGGGCATGCAGACAGGTGGTAGAGTAGGCACAGTGACAGGATGGCGGCAGGGTAGACAGACAGATAGGTAGACATACAGATGAGCAAACGTGCGGTATAACTAAGAACCATACAGAACACAGGACAAAATGGATAAACCGATCGATAGGATGACTACAGGCAGGCTAATAGTCATGTAACTGAACACACAGACAGAAAGCCAAAGGCCGAGTGGAAGGACAAGACAGGTGGATACAGGTAGATAGGTAGATCGGTCTGCAGGTGGATAAAACTCGATGATATTTTGCGTTTGTGGTTTCAAAATTCAAGTGAGTAATGGAAATGAGGACACATCCTTACTAGCAGAAAGGGAGAAGGAGTTACAGGACCTAGTGGGGAGTGAAGCAAGTCAATAGTTGGAGTGCAAAGTATTACGCATCTTCTTCTTCAGCTCCTCTATTTACTTCATCAAAGTATCCAACTCCATCCAGATCCCAATCCACGACTCCGCAGGGAAGCATCTACCCTCTACATCACGTGATGTTACTTGAGTGTCGTTTCCTCTGCGTGTATGTGTGTGTGTGTGTGTGTGTGTGTGTGTGTTTTGGGGGGGTGTCCTGTTGTTGTTACTGATGAAGGTTAATTGCTGAAACGTCTCGTTTCTGCTTATTGTCTTATGTGTCATACAGCTGACATGTTACCCAGTTTTAATTTTATTTTAATAGCTGTACTGCAGTCCGCTGGTTGGGAAAGTACACAATGTCTGCCAGTGTCTGTCTTCGGCTGGCTCATTAATCATGCTGCTCACGCACGCCAGGCCAGCTCAAGAATTGGGTGACTAGGTGCAGATCTTCCTGACTGTAGCGCTTTCTCCTCATCCGCCCATGCACGACATCCCACCAGGTTCATGAAGCTACTTGGTACCTCCTCACCTGACCAGGCGTCATGTCTTGCGCAAAACCCCGGAATCAACTAAGAGGTAAGTGAGGTTCAGAAGATTGGTTAGTGGGAGTTGACTGACACTTCCTGGACCCCCCCCCCCCCCACCACCCTACCCTACCCCACCCTACCCTACCCTACCCTACCCCAACCTACCCTACCCTACCCCACCCCACCCTACCCCACCCTACCCTACCCTACCCTACCCTACCCCACCCCACCCCATCCCTACCCTACCCTACCCTACCCCACCCTACCCCACCCTACCCTACCCCACCCTACCCTACCCCACCCTACCCTACCCTTCCCCAGGTGAAAGCAAGAAGCGTGTTGGTTTTCTTCCATTCCTTTCTCTTTGGCCCCTTCACCAAATCTTGTTCTCGTTCCTCCGAGTCGCATAATTACGTTGTGCCTGTTTTACAGCAAATCTGCGATATTTACGCCTTTCGGCCCACACATCCGACTTATTAAGCATTTGTTGACCGGGTTAGCTGCACGGTTTTTATCAGCCTACCTAAGTTAAGGAAGCTCCAAATTAGTCGACTCTTACGACATGCTTGTTCAGAAGGCAGTGAGTCAATTCTTCAGGTCTACTTTGCCCTCAGTGGGTACTAGGTAAAGATCTGAGAAGTAAAGGCGGTCGGCGTGATGTCGACCATATCACCCACCGAGTGAGGATCGGTTTATAAAATACAGGTCTAGCCCTATATACCCAGTATATATACCCTGTGTGTGTGTGTGTGTGTGTGTGTGTGTGCCCGCGCGCAAGTGTGTGATAAAGACGTTAAACGGTGTTTTAATGAAACAAGCAAAACTAAATGAATATGGACGCTAGGCACGGTCACTGTTTTGAGCCGTGCCAAATTTTTGCTTCTGCCAGACGGTGGCCGTTGCATTTTTGCTCCATTTGTAGACTAAAAGGATATAGTTTCGTCGCCCAGCTTCTGAGTTCAGTGCATGACGTGACACTGTGAGCTGCGGATTTCATTTGGAATGTTTTTCGACTGTGACCAATGTGGTGGTGTGAATTGAAGATTCAGAAAATGGCGCGATGCCTGCTGTAGCGCCTATGGAACTGTTTCCAGCAGGACCTAACGAGCGAGATACTGCAGACCATCTGCTAAATAATGATGTTAACTGTTGATTGTTACTGTGTCCATTCTCTAATCTATGTCGCACAGCCTTTCCCTCCCACGCTCTCTCTTTCTCTCTCTTTCTCGTTTTTTTTTTCTCTCTCTCTCTCTCTATCTCTCTCTCTCTCTTCATATAATTCTATATTAGTATATATATTTATATTATATATCCCTCTCCATCTCGGTTTCTCCGTCTCTCTCTATATATCTCTCTGTCTCTCTATTTCTCTCTATCTCTCTCTGTCTCCCTCTATCTCCCTCTATCTCTCTCTCCCTCTCTATCGCTCTCCGTCTCACTCTATCTCTATATATCTCTCTCTGTCTCTCTGTCTCTCTCTCTATCTCTATATCTTTCTCTGTCTCTCTCTATCTCTCTCTGTATTTCTATCTCTCTGTCTCTCTCTGTCTCTCTCTTTGTCTCTCTCTCTATCTCTCTCTGTCTCTCTGTCTATCTCTCCGTCTCTCTCTATCTCTTTCTACCTCTATCTCTCTATGTCTCTCTCTATCTCTCGCTATCCCTCCCTCTCTCTGTCTCTCTGTCTCTCTCTATCTCTCTCTGTCTTTCTAGCTCTCTCTGTCTCTCTCTATCTCTCTCTCTTTGTCTCTATCTCTATCTCTCTCTGTCTCTCTGTCTATCTCTCTGTCTCTCTCTATCTCTTTCTACCTCTATCTCTCTTTGTCTCTCTCTATCTCTCGCTATTCCTCTCTCTCTGTCTATCTCTCTCTATCTTTTTCTATCCCTCTATCTCTCTCTTTCTCTCTCTATCTCTCGCTATCCCTCCCTCTCTCTCTGTCTATCTGTCTCTCTCTATCTCTTTCTATCTCTCTGTCTCTCTCTGTCTCTCTCTATCTCTCGCTATCCCTCCCTCTCTCTGTCTGTCTGTCTCTCTCTATCTCTTTCTATCTCTCTGTCTCTCTGTCTATCTGTCTCTCTGTCTCTCTCTATCTCTCGCTATCCCTCCCTCTCTCTATCTAAGCCCCTCTCTCTCTATCTATCTGTGTGTGTGTGTGTGTGTGTTACTAGCTCTTTTACCCAGTCCCGTAAAGTTAATGTTTTAACCTTGGTCTCTATTACAAGACTGTGTAACGAAGCACCGTTCTAACCTACCCTACCACCGCTAACAACGCCCAGTTGAATCAATAATCCTAACGTAATGGCTTGTGATTGTTGG